GGAGGGAGGGAGTCAGAGGACTGTTAGGGAATACTTCCTATTGTCCTGAAATTATTTCTTATCCAATAGGACCTAGCTTGCTCTCGCTCTCTCTCTTTTCTCTCTCTCTCTCTCTCTCTCTCTCTGAGAAGAGGAAACTAAGGCACAGAGGAATGAAGCAACCAGTGTTGAGTGGAGGGTCAGTGTACCCATGTGAGTCTCAATTCCATGTGCATTGGAGGGGCTTTCCTGTCATGGTTCTGCCCAGGTTGGTGCTAGGCCCATTCAGACGCAGACCTAAGGCCTAGCCCTGGACTTTGGATTTGGATGCATGAGAATAGTGAATATACTGACCTGTTGCTCATGGCCAAACAACTGGGGGATCAGGGAGGCCTGTCCAAAAATCTGCAGGAAAGAGAGGGTGAGGGTTATGGGAGGGCCAGGGTGGGGGCTGGGCTGGGGGATTCAGGTTCAGGTGCCAGGGAACTTAAGGTTAGCTGATCTAACCTCCTCCCCAGAATGGCTGGGGCCCAGATGCTAGGCGATATCACTTGGCTTCCTCTAGGAATGGGAGGCTCATTCCTGGGCTGGACATTATTGAGGACTTGTGATCTGCTATTTATAAGTCCTTTTCTTGGTCTAGCCCCTGGGACCATGGATACTTTGCTGCCTCTCTCCCTGAGCAGGCAGCCCACCTTGATATGCAGATTAGGGATGGCACCCAGAGCTGTCTCCTCCCCAGGCTGGAACATCTCTGACTCTGGGGCTGCATATGCAGCTCAGGTGGTTAAACCTTCTAGATATGAGGGCTTGGGGAGGGGAGGAGACAGAGGACCCTGGACTAGGAGAGAGCCAGGTTGGGCAAGGAGCGATGGGCGAGATCTGCCTGAGTCCCCAGACTGGCCCATTCCTGGAGACTTTCTGTGTAGTCAAAAGGAAAAGGTGTTCCAGGTGCTGGGGACGGGCGAGGGACGGAGAACAGAGAGACATATGGAGATGGATACACATTTGAGAGAGTTGGAGGACAATGTGAAGGAGGGAGATAAGACAGAAAAACAGAGGGGCCCAGAGAAACAGAAGGCCCAGGAAGGAGACAACACAATATGGGAGAGTCAGGGAGGGACGTGCCTGTTCTGTAAACACCTACTGAGCATGCGTCAGGTGTGAGGGACGCTGCTGGGGGACAGGACAACATGGTCCCTGCCTACAGGAAGATCCCAGTTGTAAGAACTGACCAGACATTAAGTGAATAAACTAATATAATTCCTGTACTGAGAGGCTACGGCAGGGCACAGAAACAGCACGGGGGTGGGGGGAGCTACTGTGGTGACCCAGGAAGTGACATTTAATCTGAGAGCCAGCTGTGCAAAGATTTTGAGGGCAGAACACTCCCTGGCCAGAGAACTGTGAGCTGGGTAGGAAGAGGAGTGGCCCTGGGGTGCAAGGAGCAGAAGGGAGGCGAGCGCGGGGGGAGCAGGATGAGACAGGGCCTGGGAGGGAGGCAGGGCCTGGGTCTTAGAGGGGCTTTCCCTTGGGGTGATGTGGGAGCCCTGGGAGGGCTTGAAGCCACTTCTGACTGCTGAGAACACTTGGGAGGGTCAGGCCTGAAGGCCAGGACAGTTGTGCAGGAGGGACTTGTTGGGGCCTGGATGAAAGTGTTGGGGGCAGAGTGCTCGGGGGCTGCGGTGCTCCACCCCTTCCCATCTCCAAATTCAGACAGGTGTTTGGAGAGTTGGGGGAAGGGTTTGGCCAGGCCGAGAATAATGGAGTGGCGGAGGTCCCCAAGCCTGCCTTTCTCTCGCTTTCCTTCCTCCCTTTCTTTCTTCTTTGTGGTGCTGGGCATAGAGGCCCACGCTCTACCACCGAGCTCCAAGCCAGGCTCTCAAGCCTTCTAAGGGGTCCCCTGGCCCCGGCTCTGGACCTATACCTGAGGGGCCAAGGCCTGTTCCCTCCTAGAGAGGAGGCTGCCTGCGCCGCTGCCCACACGCCTGTCCTCTCTGGGCTCAGCTCCCTGTCCACGGCACGCAGGGAGCCCTCAGCCTCGGCTGTCTCCCTTCGCAAGCACTAAAGCATCGTGCACGTGGCAGGGACTGGGTCCCTGCTCAGCTTTCCCTCCTCCTAGCTGTGTGACCTCACCTCTCTGAACCTCAGTTTCCTCATTTGGGCAATGGGGTTATGGACTAAAAGGCCATCTTTGGGGTGGCTGTGAGGGTTCAAGGAACTGACAGTTGAGAATGCTGCAGGCAGGTGAAAAGTGCAGCAGTGTGTTTCTCCCCATCAGTGGCAGAGCTGGCTGGGCCCTGGATGTCAAGCTTCCCACTGAGCAGGTGGGCTCAGGGTTGAGAAGTAACTTGCCCAAGGTCACACAGCAAGATGATAATAGTAAGCATAAAGAGAGCCATGCTTTGCTGAACATATTAAGTTTTTTATCCTATTTATTCCTCATAACACTGAAACAGGAATTACCATCCTCTTGTCCTAAATCAAGAAACAGGCACAGGGAGGGGAGGGGACTTGACCTGATTTCCTACCATCAGTGACAAGAATGGGACTTGAACCCAAACCTTCTGTTTTCTACCCCATGGCTCTGAACCCAGTAGGAGCTGATAGGGCCAGAGCCCCTACTGGCAGCAGTTTTAGGTGTCCTCCCTGGATCCCCAGCTCAGGAGATGTGTATCAGACCCTGTGACAATGCTCTCCAGCCACAGGACAGTCAGTGGAGCAGAGAGACATACAGAGGTGGCTTCAGAAACAAAGGCCAGACAGAAGCACAGTGTAGACATCCGGGGACCAGATGGGAAGGGCTGGGCCTGGACGACTATCCTCCTGGGCAGGAGCAGGGGCTCTCCCAAGCCCACTGAGCTTCCAGCCACCTCACCTGGCTGATACAGCTGGAGTCATTGAGGCTGTCACTGATGGGGTTGTAGTCCTCTTCCCAGCTTGGACACTTGGAAGGCAGCAGCATGTCCACTGAATCCAGGCGGTCCAGACTCCTGGGCAAGGGGTAGGGGAGGACAGGAGATCAGCCCACCCATTGTTCAGCCTGGGAAAGTGAGGTCCAGAGGGTAAAAGACTGGCCAAGATCATTCAGTGACTGAAGGAAAAATGGAAGTCCCTTCCAGCCTGAGAGGGTAGGGGGTAATGAACAAGGGGAGAGCTCAGCTTTTGGGGACCTTATCTGTTTACCTGTAGTGAGCAGGTGACCCTCACCTGTCATGCCCGCTGATGCCACTAGGTGGCAGCACAAGCTTATATTTGACTTTTAAGGGAGGACGCTAGCTCAGCCTGGCCCAGCTCAGCCTGGCCCAATTCCACCACTCCCCTTCTTGCTCCCTCTTGCAACTAAAGAGACTGAACAGTGTCTTTATACCCACAGCATTGACCAGGCCTGCCTGAAGGATCTAGTTCCACCGTGATGACCTGGTGGCTTCTTCCGGGTCCCAGAGGACTCATCACTAATCCCTATGGCTTCAGCTCTTCAGTCTTTTTCACATCTACCTAACCCCGGGCCTCCGCCATCACTTACTCTACAGGGAAAACATCCAAGCATCCGAAGGTTCAGACTACTGACCCAGAGGGCTTGGACTGGAACCCAGCTTTCTTTACTGGGTGAACCGGGGCAAGTCACCACCATTGCTTAAGTCTCAGCTTCCTCACAAATAAAATGGGGTCGACACTGCCTGCCTGTTGTGGTGAGGTGTGTATCACGTGCTCTGGGGTAGGCGCAGTGGCCGGCAAGTCAAATGCTAATAGAGAGCAGCCATTACTGTTACTGGTCTCCTCTTACCTATGCCCTGGTCCTGCCCACCTCTTCCACCTTAATGTTCACTGGTCACTCATAGAATCGCAGGTTCTCAGGACTAGAAAGGGCCTCAGGGTCATTCTGCTCGGCCCCTCCACTTAAACACTGGAAAACTGAGGCTCAGAGATGGCTGCAACCTGGAGACCATTTCCTGCCTTCTGCCCCAGTCAGATTCCCGACTGCTCTGAGTACACTGCCCACTTCCTGTCTCACTGTCCCCTGCCTGAGCTATTCCCTTCCCTCAGGCCCAGGCTACCTCCTCCAACAAGCCTTGGCTCAGGCCCCGGGAGTTGAAGACCAGAATAAGCTTGTTTCCTCTAATTCTCCCAAGTCTCCAGTGGTGGAATTCCAGGCAGAGTGTTGGGACACGCAGAGGCTGGCTATGTCTCTTTGACTCTGTTTTCGCTCCTCTCCCCAATTCTGGAGCCCAGCACAGAGAGGGTCCTTCCCTGGGCAGTGCTGGGACATATGATGGACTCACTAAGGAAGGGCTGGTGTGCCCAAGCTGAAGAAAGGATCCTTTGGGGCAGTCCCCTGTGGGGTGGAACTTACCTGGGGATGTGGCTCCTGTGGCGGAGTTTACCTGGACCGTTCATCCCAGCGAGGTTCTCATTATGGGCGGGGTTTACCAAAGGATGAGGCTCACCTGTGGTCAGGGCTTAACTGTGGGTGGGACTCATGGATGGTTCATGGTGGGGATCTTCCGGGACAACTTATCAGATGAGTGCAGGAGCAGCCTAAGTATGTGGATCTTATAGGAGCAGTTGCCTGGATCTGAGGTGGAGGGGCAGGATTCACTGTGGGGCTGGGCTCTCCTGAGTGGCCCAGGAGAGGGAGGCGAGGCTCCAGGGGCGGGGCATACCTGCAGAGGCTCACCTAGGGGCTTGTCTGCACCTGCTGAGAGAGGCCTTCCCCGGGTGAGAGCTCGCGGCACGAGGGTCTCACCTGAAGGGGCGGGGCTAGCACATGGGCGGGGCTCCCGTTACGAGGGTGGTCCTTTTAGAGCGCAAGGCTCGCCTGTGGGCGGGGCCCCAGGGGGCGGGGCGGCACGGTCACCTGCGTGGGTTGCTCTGCTCTCCCAGTGACTGCTGCGTGGCCCTCAGGTAGCTCTGGCGCCGCGCTGCGGTCTTGGGTGAAGGCTTGGGGCTGCCACCAGACTCGTCGCTGTCCTCGTCACCCATGGCCTTGATGTAGCTGCCGCTGCGCATGCGCCGGCACGGGATGGGACCCTCGGCGGTGGCATCCGCCTCGCGGGGGGATAGCAGCGCGGTGCTCCACTCTCCACCGCCGCCGGGCACCTGGGGATATCAGGGATTAGGACTCTGCAGGAGTGCGGGGGACAGCTTGGCCCCCGACTCATCACCTGGAAAATGGGTCACGAAGGATTGTTCCCCACCTCGGGGAGTTGGGTCTTCTATGCTGCTTTACTGTCGTCGAAACCACAGCATCAGAGCAGAGCCTTGGGGCCCCGAGGGATTTCTGGGTTCAAGAACCGCTTCTATCCCAGCTTTACTGCATGCCCTTGAAGGAGTCTTGAACCCCTCTATGGATCCTAGGCTGGGTTTGCCCCAGCAAAACTACTCCAAGGCCCTGGGGTCCCAGTGGCCTCGACAGTAGTCACTGCCTCCCATCATTTCATTAAGTCATCCCAGGGGATGGCCTGTGATCCCACTGCATGGATGACACCAGGCCTGAGGGAGGGAAGTCACTAGCAGAGAGGCCTCCAGACCCAAAAGCACAGCTTGATCCTAGAATGGGGGTCAGGGGTCAGGGGTCAGATCAGCATGGGGGTGGGGGACCCAGAGTCAACATTCATTGCCTCACAGATGGGGAAACTGAGGTATGGAGAACAGAATGTTTGCCTGGAAGCGGCAGCCATATGGCAAACAGGAAAAAGGGCTGTTTACCATCTGAGCCCAGGGGCTGCACCCAGGGAACAGGGCCAGGATAGAGGCAAGGGAGGTCACAGCTTGAGGGCAGGCTGGTCTCCAGAGGTTATGGAGGAGGTAACAACTGAGGGGACCTCTTGCCCTTCTGAGGGCAGGCTCTGCTGGCTGCTCTGGGGCAATGCACACAGTCTAACTCTCCTGTCACTTACACTGTTACGTACACACAGGGGACTTGATATGCACATCTCAGCGCTTCCATGCTGCAGAACTCAGAGCTGGGGCTTTGTTGGGTCCACATATCTCAACACACACAGAGCAGGCACACCCTCCTCTCTAGGCTCCTCAGCAAGTGCCCCCAGCACACCACACACTCCTCAGTGACACACACGGGCAGCTGATTCACTCAGTGCATCCCTTCACCTGGACACACCAGCACACAGGGCAGGCGCACTTCACACCGCACACTTCTCTCACCAGCAACCCCTGCACTTGAACACACATCTCACCATGCTCCCACCTCACTGTGTCCTCCCTGCCACACACAGGTGCCACTGCCTGGGCTGCACACTTCACCACAGACACCCAGGCCACATGTTCCAGGGTACACAGCAAGCACGCCCTCCGTCATGGCACAGATGCACACTCCCACACAGGCACCCAGCCTTCTTTATGCCCTCAATGCAGTGACAGGGTCCTGTCTGGGATGACCCCACCCCAGAGGCCCCCTCAGCCTTCTCATAACTCCCCCTGCTGACTGCCTAGCCACTCACCACGGTCTGCAAATTCTACCTCCCCAAATCCTAGCTAGTCTATTCCCACTGCCCACGAGGAATGAGGCCTTGTGCATCTGTTACGGTTTGGATTTTAAATGTCCCCCAACCTTTGGGCGTCATTGGACCATGAAGACTCTGACCTCATTAATGGATTCATCCACTGATGGATTCATAGCTTAATGGACTGTTGGGAGGTGGGGGAAGTGATCGCTGTTGGAGGAAGCGATCACTGGGGTGTGCCCTTGAAAGGGATATTTTGTCCCTGGCCCCTTTCTTCTCCTCCCTCTTTTTGCTTCCCGGCTAACATGAGGTGAACTGCTTGGCTTTACCACATGCTCCCTGCCACCATGCTCTGCCTCACCACAGGCCCAGAAACGAGAATCAAATGATCATGGACTGAAACTTCCGAAACTATGTGCTAAAATGTATGTTTTCTCTTTTGAGGTGACTGCTCTCAGGCGTTTTTTCAAAGTTCAGACTGTGTTTCTAACTACCTGCTCACTGTCACCCAAGCAGGCAGCACAAGCCCCAGTTATGGTGTTATGGATGCATTTCCAACTGATCAGATCCAGCCACACTGTTCTGGGAGGGAGCCAGGCCATGCACCATGCTCCCTGATGTCTAAACTAAGGAGGCAGACTGAAAGCCCCAGAGGCCCCAATACAGTTAAAAAGCTGCCTAGCTTTCAATCTCCTCCTATTGAAAAGAAAAAGTCTTCCCCCCATAGTCTGTCTCTGGAATTTTATACAGAATGACAAGAACTCAGGGCTCTGTCAAACCTTGAAGTTCATCTCAGTCAAAACGCATTTAATATGACTTCCCCAGGGCTGACCAGGTCTCTGCTTGCACACCCCCTGGATGAGCTGCTCACTACCTACAGAGGCAGTGCCTTTCATTTGTGATTTGTTTCCTGAAACTTCCATGCACAGCACTGGGTGTGGCTCTGCACCCTCACCCCCAGCCAGCATTTCACAGCCGCTCGCCCTGCCCTTGAGAGCCCCTGGGACTGTGCAGCAGCAGTGATGTCTCTGAGCCTTCTGCCAGTCTGAAGCTGCGTGGCCTTGGTACAGCAGCCTCAATAGCCATTAGCATGTGAAAGAAGGGACACCCCCCAGATGAGTTAGGCCCCCAGGGCTGGCAGCCCTCAGTGCTGCGCCACCTCCCACTCTGACTCTTCTCCCAGCATCCTGATCATCAGGACTGTGTTCGTAGAATTGTCCATTTGTCCGTCTACCCTTCCCACATTTCCTGAGCATTTCCTCCATGCCTGACCCCAGGGACACATGGCTGCATCAGATGTGGTCCTTGTCCTCGAGGAGTTGCCAGTCTGATGGAAGTGGTGGGCAGGAGGCAGGAGGGGGATGGGGTGGCACAGTTTCTGGATTTGTCTTCTAAGGGCACAATACCTTTATTCATTTTTTTTTTTAATGTGGTGCTGAGGATCGAACCCAGGGCCTCACACATGCTAGGCGAGTGCTCTACCGCTGAGCCCCAACCCCAGCCCAGATGAATCCTCTTTTAGAAGGTATTACCAGAAGCCCATTTCATAGCTGAGGCTCAGAATGAAGCAACTTCCCAAGTAAATCTGCAGTACAAGACAGGCCTCAAAACTAGTGCCCCTGTCCCCAGCCCTCATCCCACCCCAACCCTGGCAGACACCCACCTGCAGGTAGTGGTAGGCTAGACCCTGGTGGCACGACTTGGACTTTAGTAGGCTCTTATCCAAGGTGGCCGAGGTCTTCTGGCAGACCTCATGGGCGTGGCTGAGGGTCAGAGTGGACCAGGAGCCCCGTTTGACATAGTTGGTGTCAGTGCCCACCCCAAGGCTCGGGCAGGTGGCGGGGGGTGCTGGCGGGGGTGGTGGGGCAGTCAGGTCGGAGGTGTTGCTCTTGGCAGCCTTGAGCATGTGCCCGCTGATGGTGTTGTAGGCATGCATGAAGTAGCGCGGCTGGGTGCGTTCAGGCTGGCGGCCCAGCGTCATCAGCCCGGAGGCTGGGCCGCTGCTGCGGAAGGCGCCACTCTCGCCGTCCAAGTTGTCGTCAGAACTCCACCAGCCTGAGATGTTGGAGCGGCTGCGCCGTTTGGGTTCCCCAGCCTTGGCCCGCTCCTTGCTTTTGGCCCTGCGGCCCTTGCCGTCCTCCATGCCACCTTTCTTGCTGCCATTGCCACCGACCTTGCCTGCTGTGCCCTCCAGTGAGGGTGCCTTAGTGAAGAAAAGCCTCTGGACAGAGTGGACCAGGTGGCGGATGCGGCCAGGGCTCTCACCGCGGGCCTTGGCCTCTCCCCGGGGGAACTGGAGGGTGCTGAAGCCATCGCGGTGGATGGGCAGCTGCTTCTCAAACTGGTCCAGGAGGTTAGCGGGCAGCCGGTTGATCTTGGTGGCCTGGGCATGGCTGGGGAACGGGCTCTCCTCGGGCACCTCGAAGTGGGAGTTGTAGTGGATGCGGGGGAAGGTGCTGCTGGGCGGCGGCAGCTGGTTGTTGAGCGGGAAGAGGCCGTCCCCTGGGAGGGGGTTCTGCGCGGGGAAGCGGGCCTCGCGCGTGAAGGCCTCGGTGGGCGAAAGCAGGTAGGGGTTGCGATCAGGCCCTGCGAACAGCGGCTCGTGTGGCGGGTCCAGGCTGTCAGAAAGGTGGCGGGGGCGGTTGTCACCGAGGCCTTTCATGATCCCGGCCCGTGGGGCGGGGCCGTTGCCCTAGCGGGGCGCCCGGGTCACTGCTCCCGGGCGGCTGCTGTCCTAGGGAGAGAAGACAGAGGGGGCTCAGCTGGATCCGGAGGGCCAGGGTGCCAGGAAGGACGGACCTCAGCATCGGGGGACCAAGGTCAGGGAGTCTGCCCTTGCCTTGTGGGGTGGAGGAGAACCCATGGGGAGGCCACGCCCTCGGGTGTCAGTGAGGAGATGGCTGCCGGCAGCCACCCGCTGGCGGACCACCTCTCCTCTCCCAGCTGGATGCATAGATCTTCATCATAACCCGCAAGCCCCTGAGCAGAGCTCCCTCATCCTCCGAATTCCACGGTAGAGTGCGGGGTGGGAACAGGACAGCTCCCGCCCCAGCCTTTTCCACCGTGGAGTCTGTCTCTCATCACGAGCAGCAGTGCCCAGTGTATCCCAACCCAGTCCAGGCCCTGTCCACACCTGCTCCAACAGCATGAATGGTCCCCAGGAGGTCTGGTCTCCCCTGGGAAGATCCCACATTGGCCCTGGGAGCAGTTTAGGGTCATTTAGACAGAGAATCCCAGGGTCCCCAGTATCCAGGGTGCAGCCTAGAGGGGGAATGTGAGCTTCGGTGGGCCTGTCCCCTGGTCTCCTGAATAATTCTTGTCTTATGGGAAAGAACAAAGCCCTTCAGAGAGTCAGAGAGGCCTTTAAAGAATAGGACTGCTGACGGAAGCGGTGCACCCCTGTAATCCCAGCAACTAAGGAGGCTGAGACGGGGCAATCGTCATTTCAAAGCAACTCAGGGAGACCCTGTTTCTAAATAAAATACAAAATAGGGCTGGGGATGTGGCTCAGTGGTTGAGTGCCCCTGAGTTCAAGCTCTGCTTAAAAAAAAAAAAAAAAAGAAAAAAGAAAAAAGAAAAAAAGGACCAAAGCCAGGTGTGGTGGCACATACCTGTAATTCCAGAAGCTTAGAAGGCTAAGGCAGGAGGATCATGAGTTCAAAGCTAGCCTCAGCAACTTAGCAAGGTTGAGTGTCCCTGAGTTCAATCCCAGGTGCCAAATAAATAAATAAAAGAGTGGGACCCAGGCAGGGGCTTGTCTTACTTGCAGTAGGAGCATGTTTTCCAACTTTTCACTTGGATAAGCAGAGGAATCCTTATGTCAAATATAAACCCTCTGTCCAAATCTGCTCTATCCCTCATTAAATGAGATGGACCTCAGGCCAGGTGTTGGGGGCCTCTGACACCAAGAAGACCCATAAGCTCACAGCCCATCATTTCCAAATTGAGATGAAGCACTGACAGCCTGGAACAGTTCTCAGAGTTGAGAACAGAGGCATGTCCTTAGGTCTAGGTGAACAGAGCAAGGCCTCATAAAGCAGTGGCACTTGGGTGCAGTCACTGTGCCTCAGTTTCCCTACCTATAAAATGGGGAAGTTGGACTAGCTGGCTTCCAGGGTTCCCCAGCCAGGGCATTCTGGAAATACCAGTTTTAAATTTCCTCTTCCTGGGCCTCAGTCTTCCTGTGGAAACAGTGGAGCAGAAGGAGGCCAGTGAAGCTTCTAAGCTCTGGCTGCAGCAGCCCTGCTCAGAGGAGCCCCAGGACTTGGTCTGGCCAGTGCCTGCTGGGCTTGGACCCACAGGAGCAGCTCTGGCTGAAGCAGAGCAAGTGAGGGTGGTGCCAGCTGGGCACATGGAAGCCAAGCTGACAGGCATCCCAATAAGTCCATGTCCTTGTCAGATGCGATGTAGTTAAGGAGCTTGAGATGGGGGATCATCTGAATCTGGGGGGACACAACCTAATCACGTGGGTCCTTGTAAGAGGGAGGCATGAGGATGGAAACAGAGGTCAGATGATGCTGGGTCAGGAGTCAGGGGGCCTTGGGAAGCTGAGAGGCCAGCCCTGTGACCCACTGTGGACCTCAGATCTCCAGAACCACAGGGGGCTCTGGGGCCTCTTGTGAGATAAGGACGTCGGCCTGGGTGACAGCACAGGGCAGCCAGAGCCAGGCCAGAACCCAGGCATCCTGGCTGAACACAGGCCCCATGCTGTACACCTGAACACCCGCCTTCCTGACCCGGACGATCTGCAAAGGAAGGGGACAGTGCTGGGGCTGACTCCACCAGCTGAGGTGCAGACAGGAGGGAAGACAGGAAGGACGAGGTGCCTCAGCAAAGTGGGCCCTGCCAGCGCCGCCAGCCTCACCCACCTCCTGCTCTCCACCTGTCAGCCAGGATCCTTGCCCTGCTCAGTTTCTTCATATTCTCTTCAGTCTTGGAAACTCCTACACACTCGCTTGTTTGCTAGTTTATTGTCTGTGATTGGACAGTGCAGTTCTAGGGTTCAAACTGCTTCCTGGAAACTACTTCCCTATCATCCCCGTCAAAGCTGGGTCCAGGACATTTTCTTTCTTTTGGGGCTGGGGGGGTGGTACCAGGGATTGAACTTAGGGGCCCTCAACCACTGAGCCACATCCCCAGCTCTATTTTCTATTTTATTTAGAGGGTGTCACTGAGTTGCTTAATGCCTCGCTGTTGCTAGGGCTGGTTTTAAACTTGCGATCCTCCTGTCTCAGACTCCTGAGCTGCTGAGATTCCAGGCATGGCCCTTTCTTTTTTAAAATTTATTTTTTAAAAAGGGTCTAGGGGCTGGGGATGTGGCTCAAGTGGTAGCGCGCTCGCCTGGCATGCGTGTGGCCCGGGTTCGATCCTCAGCACCACATACAAACAAAGATGTTGTGTC